AAAAAAAAAGAGGGGGGGGGGGGGGGGGCGAAGTGTTTCCACCCAATAGTTCTGGATGAATGCTGATCCCCCACCTTTAATAAGAATTATCAATGAATAGTAGGGTGGAACAATTTTTCAAAAGATTTTCAAGAAGACGTGGTGGAGACATCGCCATAGATCAATTAATTTAAGAGAAAATCTTTCAAATTTACTCTGCTTCTGTTTCTCGTTTCCCTTCTAACCATTTTACGAAAAAATAATAATTGTAATGATTATTTTCTTCTTCAATTCTGCTCCAACCTTACCCTTCAACCAAAATTTTCCCTCCTACCAAGCACACTATCTAATGCGTATTGTTTACTTCTTTGTGGACTTCTATATGAGGTTAGTCCTTTTGTTGTGATCTTAACATTTTTTGGACTTCCAATTTTTTTTTTTTTCAGGTTCACATTCCATATGCCTGTAAGCTACTTTTCCAAGAGCTAATGGCCATGGCTATAGCTCCGAGAATGCTCACGAAGGATATCAAACAGTCCAAAGAGCAAAAGAAGAAAGGAGCTTGATGTGCTTTCCCCGAGAAATTTGCACACAAGCAGCTTTCCTGACCTACTCATTGAGGTTTGTTTTTTGAAGCACATTGACTCAAAGTTTCTTCCATTGGATCGACTTATTTATAGTGGTTAGTCACTTAAATTAAAACAAGAAAGTTGGAGAAGAGAAGCAGGCTACTTGATGCTTGCGTTTGCCTGGGGTATGCGATGTTGTTTACAGAATGCAAGGCATCAGTCGACTGCAAGTGCAGAAGTTGCTTGCTGTGATATTGAAGACCTCATTGCAACTCTCGATGCCTTGTTTTGGAGTATGAATAACTCTTTACGATGTTGTGCGTTTTTCACAGTTGGTAACCAAGGCTCTTGTGGCGTACATAAATCACTTGCTCTGTTTTTCGACCAGGTCTTGGGACAGTTTTTTATTTAGTTATGTACCTATCGACTCTAAATCCTTGATATATTAATTTGAAGAAATCCTTATTGGGGTTGAAACTCAACTTAGTTACAAATTTCTGGTCCCTTGAATAATATCAATTATAAAACACCAATGATTAGTTTAAGCCCTTAGTCAAAAAGTCTTCTACCAACGCTAGGACATTATAACAGATGACTGTTGAGTGTGTGCATACATTTATCCAACAAATTAACACCATATTCTTGATAGGGAGGTATTGAAAAACCTTGATAACATTTAATAATACAGCATTCGATATTCGTATGCCCAGGAACATTGTCCGTTATAGTATTTGTCAAATTTCTTGTACAGTCATTGTCGTATGTAGTATATACTACCTGGATAATGTATATCGTCATGTGTAGTTATATTTTATTTTTGTATGCCATACTTTTTGAAATCGAGTCGAACTCTGCGGCCCTTGCATATTTGGGGTGTGACCCACTCACCCAAGGAACAAAAATATTTTTTGATTGTTATGCCATTACAACATATTTGATACGATAGACTTGATAGAATTGAGAAACAAAAATAAATTATATCTCTAGTTGGTACAAATTAAATTTTAGTCAGAGTCAAAAATTTATTTTAATCGCACATTTTATGGGGATTATGAACTTTTCAACCATATATTTTATCAACTTTTATTAAAATTTGCTAAAAATCTGATTTTAATTCCCAACGGGCTACATTTAATTATTATTAGTAACTTTTTAAGATGAATGGTAATTGTAACATGTGGTTAGAATTAATATTTAACTTTGACCGAAGAAAAAAAATAATTTATTTATAACTTTAAATTTTACGCTAACAGAGAGATTTTCATATCTAATATTGGACAACAAAGAATTCAGAATTGGTTTCATTGGTCTCGATAAATTCACGTATTTCTTTTCTTTCGTATAAATAATAAGTTACGCGAGATCACAAAAAATTCACTCACATCAATTTACACTTAGTGACATGGTAAATTAGAGTACCAAATAATATAAAAAGATGCCATTCGATTGTTCAATACTTTATATCAAATATTAAAAAAAAAATTATGAGAATATTAACAATTGGAATATTCTCCTTTTATGTTGTTTTGGTCGAAGACAAAAAGGTAGAACATGCTACCTGAGTGACCTCTTAAAAGGTGAATAAAAAAAGAATGTATACATTGTGGGGTTGACATCATTGTGTACATTCCATTAGAGTTCAACAAGTTGTGGGCAGAAAAGTGTGTTTTTTTAAAAATTATTCAATGATGTGACACCATGTGGCACAATGTAAAAAATGATCTACATTATCTAATATGACTGAAGAAAGAAATATACAAGCCACCTTTGACATGTGCTGGTAGTTTGATAGTTTCCAAGAAAATGCAGCTGGGCCTTTGAGGGTTGCTCCTCTATACAAAATAATCAAGCATGGCTCCTCGAACAGGTGCACTGCTTAAAAGGGGGATGAGCCTGAAACTTGGGCAGTCTCCGAGGTACAAGTGCCCACCTCCATTTCTGTCCAAAACTTATGATATTTTGGAGAAAGAGGATGAAGAAGAAGCTATAGCAAATGGGCAAAGGATAGTTTCCTGGAACTCTGAGGGCAATGGTTTTGTTGTATGGAATCCTGCAGAGTTTTCTGAAGTTATTTTGCCTAGATACTTCAAGCATAATAACTTTTCGAGTTTCATTCGACAGCTCAATACCTATGTAAGCCTTGCTCTTCTCAATCCCAGTCCCTCGCGATGTTTATATACTACCCATTCAGCACATAATTGATGTATATGTGCATGGATAATGAGTCTTTTTCCCCGAGGACGTCTGAGGGCGGCCGGAGAAAAATCTCGTGTGCACTCATTTGCACGTATATCCCATCTACTATTCATGTCTGAGGTGCAAAAATAAATAATTAATTCTATATCATTAACATGATGTTAATTCCATACTAGGGATTCAAGAAAACAGCGTCGAAGAGATGGGAATTTCAGCATGAGAAATTCCAGAGAGGGTATAGGCATCTGCTTGTGGAGATCACTCGAAAGAAGTGTGAGCCAAGCGCCTTTCCGGCTTATCTTAAAGCTTCTGAAGGAAACAAATCGACAACCTTAGAGGCAAATGCTCGACTGCTGCTAATGGAGGAGAACAAGAACCTGAGAAGAGAGAGACTGGAACTGCAAATGCAGCTAGCTCATTTCAAGACACTGGAAATTAAGTTATTGGAATGCCTTTCTCAGTGCATAAGCTGCCATGGCCACCAAAGCAAAGTTCCCAGGCTGTTTTATAAATAGTGGGATGACATGCTTGGTATCGACATAATTAAGAGATACGGAATCGAGTTCAGTCTAATCCACAACGCCCCTGAATCTTCAGTTCTTTAAACTAGTTGAAACTGATAATTAGATAATTGTAAGTTTTCGATATGCCTATGGCTGGGGCCTGGGGTCCTCTTTTATCCGTATTTTCCGTTTCTTCTGTAAAATTGGCTTCACAGTACAAAGGCAACAACCAGAATTTGATGATTTCACTGTTCTTGATGTATTATAATACTGTTCGTAAGGCAGAATTTTCCTGATTAACAACACAAAGTTCCATCTGCCGACGTCGTTATGTTTGGCTCAGCTTAATAGATAAAAATTGATATTATCCAAATAAGTCAGCTTCTACTACAAAAAAACAAGCCCGTTCCATCAAATTCTGTCAAAAGTTTAGACTTTAGACCGACACATTCTGTCAAAGGTGAAGAAAAAGCACAGTTTTTTCCTTAGAGACGGTTCAAAAGTCTAATATCTTTGGTTTTATAGTTTACATATTATTATATTTTTTCAAAATAATTGACTATAATAATCAATGGTGAAAAGTTGAGAAAAGTGGGGGCCTAAAGTTTAATTTTATTCAACTATTACTAATTAAATTATATATTTTGCTTTGAAAAGACATTCTTGACCACCACCGCAAAATATTCATAAATTGACAGGCTCAGACATAATTCTTTTTCAAACAAATTGATTAAAGATTCCAAAGCTAAAATACAAGAACAATCCCCACAGAAAAAGAAAAATAAAGAAAGTAATAAACTATGCTCTGAAGATGTTGAAATTACATGAGAAAAGAAAACCCTGGGGTGGTTTTATTCTCCTTCCACAGCAGTGGCGCCTGCCCAATTTGCTGCACTACCTGTCCGGGGAATGCTGGGAAGTCTTGTAAACAGGTCCACTTGAAAAATGACAGCCCCAATATTTCCTTCATCGTCCTCTCGTGCAATTGCTCTTACCTTATGAAGTGGATGATCAAAACAAATCAAGCCAGTACCACTTATAAAGATACAGCCTGCAAAGTTTAGCGACTTTATCTCAGTAAATTTAGGTTTAACTACGTAGATATCTTTTTACTATTCTTATCTTGGTAAGTTTTTACAAAGGAACTAACCTGGAGGGAAAGGCGTATAGCATTTTCCACAAGCAGCTGAGATGAGGTTGGGATCATCAGAGCAAACTAAAGACCCATCTGCAGCAGTTCCCCAGTGGAATTGCACACTACCATCACGGTCCTGCCAAAGTATGAAAAGTTACAAACTTCCAGCACTAATTACAAGAAAATATGTGAAGTTTTCTTGAAATGATTGCACACTGCCATAGAGAACAACAAACTAGTGCCCTTCTTTCTAAAAACTTCAGCTATTTGATCAGATAGTGTGCATCAGAGTAAGCAAATGTCGTTAAAAGAGGAATCTGATAAGTACATGCATGTTGAAGTTTAGACGAGGTGGTACAACGAGTTAATCTCAACTAACCCTGGCTAGGAGCAGGACTGAAGCTTTTGAATCAAACAAAATAAAAGCAAATTTCCCTTCAAGTTCTTTGATAACTTGATCAGGAGGATAGGGTGCGCGGTCTCTTAACACTTTATAAACCGTTATGATTATCATGGCTTCCGTTGCCTGTCTCGAAAGGCCGTAATATCGTCGGAGATCACAAGTATTATCCAAAGCCCCCGAGAAAATGCAGAAAATATCATCCATAACCACAATGGACCTGATGATCGCACAATCAATAAAACCTCGAAACATTCATCTGTAAATTGATAAAAAAATCTTTTAGATTAATGTAATCTATTACCTTGGATGCACTGGATTTTGATCTTCATGAGACAAAGCCAAGAAGTTCCCGTTTCGAAAGTTGTAAAATGTTGAATCTGACCTCCATAAACGGAATATTTCTGCAATTTCTTGGCGTGTATTTTTTAAGCCAGAGCTCCCCGCAAGCGGAAGAGACAGTTCTTGCGGAGGTTTACCGATGGATTTCTCAAAAACGGCTAGCATTTTGCAGCAGAATTCCGTAACTTTAGGCTACTGCCCAAAATTAAACTCTGTGTATGCTTATTTAATGCAAGATGATGGGGTAAAGAAGATATTGCAAACATCCTTATCCTATGCTTGGTGCAACTCAAAACACATTCAACACGTCCCCTCATGTGCAAGATAGATTCATTTTGTAATATAATTTTTATAAATGAGCGGCGATTATTGATGAATTTTGGGTTCTTGTAACAAGTGTCAGTGCACTAACAACGGCAATACTGCAGTGGCACCTCTGGGGTTGTACACGCAATGAGTGAAGGTTGGCATAGAATACTAGCATACAGCCAAGAGTGAAACTTGTCATAATCCAACAGAGTCTGCAATAGTAATCGTTTTGCTCTTTTCAAGAAATAAACATGGCTGGATTTGGATTCTTTCATGCTGCTGACTAAATGGAAACCAATCGGTATTATCTCTTAAATTTCTTTTGATGCGCATTCCTTTTTTTCTTTTTCTTCTTGGAGAATGGCATTGAGCTGCATTACCATGAATGTTAATTGAACAAAGGGTTAAAAAATATTCATATATTACTAGTACCGTAGTACGCAGATGTCGAAAGACGCCATTTCACGGACTTGTCGATTGGCTAAGCTGGGACCATCGTCTCAGTTCGTGCTGATACAGGGCAGGCCCGTCGCCATGGAGACACACACAAGCCCTTACGACAGTAGTGCCATGTTGAAGAACAAGCCCTATTCAGTTAAATTTTTTATCAATTGCAGATAACTTAACATACACAATAGAGTGGCCTTGCTGAATCATAGTAGAACTAATTAAAATACAAATAATTCTTGCTGTACATAACTATGTACTGTTAAGGGATAAAATCTCACGTCGAATAAAGATGAAAATATAGACCAATTTATAAAAGTTTGGGTTACTCCTCTTAATAAGGTTAACCTTTTAAGATAAAACATTAATTCTTAACATGGTATCAGAATTCATTGAGTTCTAACGAGCAATTCGATCATGTTAAGACTCCAAAAGTGGGCATAAGAATTTCAAGATTGGTCTGTCCAAACGAGCCACCATCTTGAGGGGACACGTTAAGGGATAAAATTTCACATCGAATAAAGATAAAAACATAGACCAATTTATAAGAGTTTGAGCTACCCTTCTTAATAAGGTTAACATTTTAAGATGGAACCCTAATTCTTCACATGTACGACCCGCTGTGAGAGTGCGGACACCCCTGTATACCAAAAATTATCTAGCATGTCCCTTCAAATACACAATAGAACTAATTAAATTTTAGATGGAATTAAATTAAAAAGTGACGAGATAGATTTGATTGTAATTCGATTGGACTGGTTCTTGACGAAAATATTCGCCCTAATTCCAATTAAATGCTTACAACTTTCAATTTCACCTTTATTTATTTATTATTATTTTTTTATCTTGCATTGGCCTTTAGGCCAGTCCACACTGGACCGTAGGAGGTTTTTAGTACAATGGACTAGTCATGATCTCTATCTAGGCCCGATCACCACCAATCCAATGGCCCACCAAAAGGCCCGTTCTTAGTTAGGCACACATGTAATGACAAAGCTACCCTTCCCCCATGAATCTCTCACTCCTGTCGGAAATTTTGTTTTCGGCATTTTGCAATTTTTCAGAGAGAAAAGTAAAAAAAAATTCCGACAGAAATTGAAAAGGAAAAGAAATGATTTCGCAGCAATGGACACCGCCCTGTAACAATCAATGCACTCACAAATACGCTGCCCTCGTTCAAATTCCATGTAATTACCTTACCTTATTATCATTCGTCGCTTACGTATTTATGTTTATATGAATCGATTAAATTATGTTGTTTCTTATGCATGAAGTTCACTCTAATCGTTTGCATTATGCACAAGCTATTTGTTCAGATTCACTCGTGTTACGAATTACGTGGAGTTTGTATAGAAAGTCTAGTTAATAAGTTGTTAATTGTTGAATTTGGGCGTTTCTGAGAGAATATAGAAGGTTGCTCCAATTTTTGGTACGGAGTTCTTTAATTTTTGAAAAAATTAGATGAGGCTGAGCGAGTGAAGAGTTTTGAAGAACGTTTCAACAGAATTGTTAGGGGGCAAATAGTTCTTACACTAGTTTGTGGGGTTTGATAATACTGGCGCATGATCATTTCAAACGAATGTTATCCTCTGTGAGCTTGTCTTATGATATCTTTCCCTAGATGTAGTTATTGATATTAATTAGATGTATGAATAGGGATTAAATCAAAGATAAATCTACACCTACTGTGAGAAGGTACAGTGTCTTACATTATTATGTCAAAATATCCCTAAGCAATCTCCCGAATGTTATAATTGTGTACTTAGATTGAGTAAATATCTTTATCAACGTAATACAAATATTGAATTTTGTAACCGTCTTATAAGGGGCCTTGTGAACGGCATGTAAAGTTTGATTATTAGGTTTTGTGAGGTTTGAGTTGAATTAAGAATTGTACATAAGGAATGAAGTCTCTATTTGAGTATCTCTGAAAATAGGAGAAGGAAACTATTTACAATTCTGTGAGCAGGATACGATGATCATCTGGTCCTATTGCAATGGCTTATGGATATTTCTTATATATTTCTCCTCTGTTTCCATGATTGGTATGCATTCTTTTTTTTTTCAAATGCCCCCGTATTCCGATTTGGTCAGATCTGTCTAAGCATTCCCTGGGTTTTCCTAGGGAGAGTATTCTGAAAAGGGGTGAAACTCTGATGGTGACACATTGGAGGAATGTAAGTATTAATTTTCTATATCCAATGTTGTTAGTCTGTCAGTAGTCACAAATATATCTTATCTGATGACTCTCTACTGGACTTAAAAATTGGTTTATCAGAGTCTAAGAAATTGATCAAATGTCTATTTGGTATTTGGTGTTCAGGTTTAGGAGAGTGTGATGAGATACGTTATAAAGACCCAGTTCTAAAGGACCGGCAATGGAGTGCTTATATCGACCATTCTCCTGTTGTTGCCAGCTACTCGGAGGTTTATCTTCCTTTTCTTTAATTCTTTAATCTGTAATTCTTTTATCTTGTACTTGCTTGCTCATATCTCATTTCTCAAATGGCCGGTTATGTGAACAGATGGTTGTTAAAAATTTAGTGATTATGCGCTTCTAATTAAAATACAAATATCTTTGAGATATTTGAAGCGGTAAGTGAATTTCAGTTTTCCACTAAAGCTGCAAGTTTTATTACATCCACTCTTAAAAAAAGTCAGTAATATTCTAAAGTAGCACTCAAGTATTGCAAATTTTAAAAGGAATTATGTACTCATTGTAGTCATTTGTCGTGACCATAAATGAAATGGATTGAGTATGCTTTGGATAGGTTCTCAGTGTACTTGTGCAAACCAACCACCTTTATTCTAAATCGGCTTGTGTGGGGTTTCGGGCTAGTACCATTTCCATTAAACCCTTCCACAGTTTTATACTTTTATTAGAATATAATCACTTATGTCAATTTTGCTCATTTCTCTTACAGGAATGCTTCCATGCTTGTGTAGCTGGCTATGGTTACAAGGTCAGTTCACGTCTTTCAGTTGATCTTTGAGTTTTATTTTCTAATTTTCCTGCTAAACTTATAGTTACTGTTAAAAGGCTAGTTTGATAGAAAGGTTACAAGACCCTCTGTGTTTTATGGTACTAAATGTTAGGTTGTTAAAGATAAAATACTGATAAGATGAACGCAGTGGAAATGAGAATTTGATCAAAATTAACACATATATGTAGTTACAAAGGATCTAAATGCATTGGACCTTTCAATAATGTGGTGATAGACTGAACATAGTAGCAAGATAGGATTCATGTAGTCAATTCCAAATATTGCAACAAGGCTTAGCTTGTTATTGTTTTCATCGTCTTTTGGAAACAGGTAACACCAGGAAGTGAATAAAAAACGAAAGAAAGTAAAAAACTCAGTGCTCTTCTATTGACTTAGTAGTAGAATGTCTATATATTTGCATTTTGTGCTTGATTTACCTTGTAACTTGTGAAAGAAACAACTTCTGCAAGTGCTTCTTTGCAATTTGCAGTATACCTCTGCAAGTGCTTGATTTTGTGTTTATTTGCAATTTGTATCTTGTCTTCTGGTACTGTAGAGTTTTGTTTGGATGCCCTTATTTTCCTATTTCATAGAGAAAATTCTTCTCGGGAATTTCTGAGTTTTTCCAAAGTACACTTGACATCTCAGAAGTTGCATTGATATGCTTTGACAAATAATGGCATATTTTGAATCAAGAAATTACAATATGTTGCCTCAGCGCTGTGCCAATCACGAGAAGTGCTTCATTGCACAAGTGAAATAAAAAAATGCTAATTTAGGGATGTACATTACGTATATTTAAATATCACATCTTGTTTCATTGCAGTTTGATCTTCCATCAGAGAAAGTCAATCAAGTTCATTCAAAGAGACCATCAAAGCACCCCACCGTAGAGAAACCACCAGCCCCACCAGCCGTTGAATCCAGACCACCTCGTCAATCTGGTCCTGCTGATTGTCACCTAGCATTTCTGCATAGTTAGGGAAAACTGACCGTTCCCTCAATTTTGACTTTGTAAGAATTTCCTACCCGTAGCTTATCGTATTCTTAGATCAGTACCATCAACGGCCATTATTCTCAAAGCAAACAGAAGAATTGTCCTATTTTGCTTATCTTGTTCCAGACTAGGTTCATAGAATTAGGGTGTTTGGGATTTTTGATGACAACGACAAGGTCATGAGATAACCGGGGAAATTTCGCATAGCCAATCTAGTTGAGTCTGTTTATTTTAATCTGATAAAAGATGATCGTTATGAGCATGAGAAATATAAAGTACTCTTAGTATTTGCAACTCGTTCTTTAGATAAAAAGGTGAAATTATATGTAATTTTCCTCTCTAAATTCTCGTAGTATTTTTCGCATTTTTTATTGTCCTGAAATATATCATGGTTTAGGAAAAAATATTGGTTTTCAGTAAAATGCTTCCCTAGGACTAGTAGAGTTTACCGGAAGTCCCCTTCCAAACGATCAGTTTATAAGTAGATAAAAACAAGTTGTGGATAAGTAAATGGTACTTGTTGGTTAATTAGGATGTGCGATTGAAAATGAAGTTTGTTTAATTTATAAATTTGCGAAAACGAGATGCTTTGATTGGAATAATTGGGATTGTCCTCCAAATTAAGGAAAGTGATTGCCCACCATAAACTCCAACACGCGTTTCAACTTATCACTTAACAAATTTGTGGAGTATATATTACCTGACGCAAAAAAGTTTTTTTTTTCTTTTAAATCTCATTTATAAGAATTACCTTTTAATTAGTTGATATTTATCACTAGATTTAGTGGAGAATCTAGAGCATCACTACGTGTAATATAATATACTGTTATCATGAAGGGCTAGTACATGAGATTGCACTAATGTCCTCAATTACATTGTTAAAGTAATAATTTAATTTCATGTCTTTTCATCAATTTTTATGCATTAAGGTTGCGTTAGGTTACATAGTATAAGAAATTTAGTATAAAACTAAAATTGATGGCACTAAGTAGATAAATATCAAGGTGGATAATACTCAGAATAATTTGGATCTAAAGAAAATAGATAATTTCATATTTTTGGATTCACCAATCCTATCCATAATCAATCACTCAGTACCACTTTGACCATTTAGTTCTGAACTTTAAGAATCAACTAACATTGGTAGTGCTCATTGATTAATGCATTACTAATATTTGTAGACTAGTGATATAATATACATGTGTGAGAAGGTAGGGTTCCCCTACAAACCATTCGAGCTTCCTGGAAGGGAGGAAATGTTATTGATCAGTGTTAAAATGAAGAAATTAAAATCTTGTAAGTCGGTCGGTGTATCAAACATCTGATCCATTGAAGACTTTGCACATACGCAATAAATGAATGCAATGCATGCCCCTCAACTACCATCCACTTTCCTCCTCTCTCTGCATCTATTAAATGCCATCTATTTCCCACTAACTCTACTTAAATATTTCCTCCCACTCTTTATCTCATTCTCAGACCAAATTCCAACATGAAATCTATATTCACTTTCCTTTTAGTTTTTTTGCTCATCTCTGTTACTCTCTCCTTTGCAACTCGACCCGAACCCACTGTATCATCCAAACCAAACTCCAACAATAACAAGAAAGCTGGTGGAAATGATGGTGGATTCTTTGGACCCGGAGGCGGCTTCAACATACCCGGGTTTGGAAATGGATGGGGAAATGGAGTTGGTGGAGGGTATGGAGCCGGTTATGGGGGTCCGAATGGAGGGTACTCTAAAGGTGGCATCATAAGGTCTTCTGTGGTGTGCAAAGAAAAGGGGCCGTGTTATAAGAAGAAATTGACATGTCCGGCTAAGTGTTTCAGCTCTTACCACCGATCAGGCAAGGGCTACGGCAGCGGTGGAGGTGGCGGTGGGTGCACCATTGATTGCAAGAAGAAATGCACTGCTTATTGTTGAAGTGAGCTAGCCAGTACTATCTAGCTGGTAATGGTTCTTGATAAAGAAAATATAAATAGCATGTGATGCGACTGTAGTTTTGTCGCTTGATTAGCTATGTGTGAACTTCATTAAGCAGCTATGTGGAGGGTTTTTAAGTACTATTAAGTAATAATATGGTACCTGATATTTCTATGCAATTTCCAATGCTGTTACACAAGTAACTTATGTTATGTGCCGGAAAGTAAAACCGCACGTGATTTCTAGTTAAGTTAGAGAGAAATGTTGGTTTGTCTGATTGTGATTGTGTAATGCTTGCTTGGACAGGGTTTAGCAGAGGGTTATTCACACGTGCTGACTTTCAATCTTGAGTTACATAAAAGTCGTGTGCAATTTGATATCTTGTCATGTGGGGACCCTGATTCTTAGATTTAAATAGATTGGAATCTAGACCTACATTTTCAAAAATTGAAGACCTTACCACACAGTGAAAGATCGAGAATCTCACTTGAATTTTTCCGCTTTGTTTAGACTCAAAACCTTGTTTCATAAAAGCGATGCAATTGCGCAAAGAATAGGCTAGACAAGGGATTCATATACCAAGACTAACATAATTATTATTAGTAGTAACTGTTGTTTTCTAAGAATGAACTGTATATTCATTATAGTCCCCAAAATCAGTGAAAACAAGACTCGGATATTGAAGGGATTTGTGAAAAAGGTCTTGTCCAATCTTGTAATATTCAATTTATGGTGCCAAACAATCCCTTGAGTCTAATTTTCCCTTTATGTTTAGACTCAAGCATTTTTCATTAAAATTGAAAGCAGTACAATTGCAATAACTTATTATTGGTCAATTAAATAGGCTAGATAAAGGAATAATAGATCAAGACTAATATAACTTGTTATTGATGGTAACTTTTGTTTTCAAAAAAAAAAAAAAATTGGATCTAAGAAAGAACTATATTTTTCATGTAAAGTCTCCAAAATCATTGAAAATACAATCTTATATTGAACTTGATAGATATTGAAGAAGAGATATGGGCGGGAAAAGTTTGTCCAATCTTGTACAACTCAGTTTATCGTACCAAACATTCCTATGAAGTTTTGGCGTACAATATATTAGTTGCTAAATCGAAATCACATGCCAAACGAACGAACTTACAATTACAACTTTTATGTCATGTGATATATAAATAGTTGTTGTATAGGGAGAAATTTCTTTCATGATAACTATATTTTTAGTACTCTAATATCAATTAGGTAATTGTACTTCATTTTTGTTCAATCAAGTAATTACATTTTAATTTAATTTAATTTCATTCTGGTTACTTATCTAATTCCAGCACTTGAAACTTTCACTGAAGTGATACTTATTTTACGTCAATAACTAACTCACATGTCATGACCATCACTTATTAACTATCACATCATTTTTCCAACAGAAATTGGACAAACGTACCATAATTGAAATCAAATTAAGTGTAGTTACTAGACTGAACAAAAATGAAGTACAATTAACTTATTGACACTAGAATAAAGTACTGCCATTGAAATTTACCCGTTGCAAAGAGTGGAAGCAGAAGCAGCATTGTTTTGGAAGTAGAACAAAATTAAAGATGAACATGAAAAGCAAAATTTCTGAAGCCTCCAAAGAAACCAAATGGATCACAGATGAAAGCAAATGTCAAGCAATGGATTTACAGACCCAAAAAGTTATACAGTTCCAAAATGCAGTAACTAAAACCGCCAATCTTGTTTCTAGCCCCTCGCACACAGTCTTCTCTAATAAAAAATATAAACATGCTTATATCATAAAACTCGAAAGCTCGAGATGTGAAAAAGGATTTTACATACAATCAACCAGCTTTTCTATCTTCACCACTCGGTAATGTACCCAGAATGGTAACTTGTATCCAAAACATGTTACTCATTATTAGGTCAATGACGAGCGACATTAAATTGCTGCTCTCATGGCTCCCCTAGCAGCCTCCCGCTTCATCTCTGCAGCTTTGCCACTGCCTCGGAAGTACATGTAGACTTGCTGCATATTGGCAAAACAGTCAGCAAAATGCAAATATTGCTCGTGTGGGTAAGTAAATTTACAAGACTAATGGAAGTTACTACACCTTGAGCCGTCCCCACTCTCCACCCCACACCAAAGGAAAATTAAAGAATTAAGTCTAGTTAAAATGTGACAACGAATTAGTCAAAATGGGACCTGAATAACCCAGATGCTGAGCACCGACTCGAGGCAGAAGAGTCCAAAGCCAATGAAATAGAAAACCTGCACAAAGGGAAGGGGGGAAAAATTGACATAATTATGCTAACAATCAAATTTAGCAGACATCTGATAAATGATCAGCGGAAATGCACAACACCAATCAGTCACTTCTATCCAACTGAAACAATAACTTGGTCAAACAACTCAAACAGGAAACGAAACAGGCACTTCAAATATAGTCCAACAAACTAAACTTACCCCGACTAGTACTTGCTTGCCAATGAGATCAACGGCAGGAAGTATACCCCTATTCCAAAAAAATGTGCAAGGTAAAGATCGTAAGTAGTGGAATTAATAAGTATATCAGAGTAAAGTGGATTCAGACGGAGTAAGATCTAAAGCATGAATTAAATTTTCCGACAAGCATAGTCTTTTAGGCATTACAACACAAATAAAATTATTTACGTATGGCCATATGGCAAGTTTGATAGGGTGGATTTAATAGAATTGGATGCTATTAAAGAAGAAAAAGAAGTGAATATTTTGTTCGTTATAAGCTGTTAAATTGTACCAAACATGCATGTAAAGTCCACTTAGGTGGCAGGAACCCGTCGATACAACAATGCTTGAAGAAATTTAAATAACTTACGCCAGAGATTTTCCTTTGAACACCACAGGAGGAGCAACCGCGGAAAATATACAGAAGGCAATGTGAAGCTGTAAACAGGAGCACAAGATGAGGCGTCCTCCAAGATTTGGATGGTGAAGAGAGAGAGAATAATATCATAGGAGACTCACCAAGTAAAACAGGAAAAACCACCCATACTTCATAGCACTTTCAGTCCTGTAAGAAGGATGGCTGTATGTCAACTGAAAGAATATAGCAACTAACATTCAAACTCATCACCTTCTAAAGTCAAATGCCTAACATTCTCTGGCATTAAAAAGAATTCCGTTCCGACAAATCAACTAACCCCCCACCTAGTACGCATTGTACATTTTATGATTTCTCCGAATAGCTACAGGTCCATTACATTTGTAAACTAAACTCTTTATTATCACCCATATGGTCTGATATGCCTACTATAAATGTAAAAGTCAGCCTTGCAAAGACAGAACCACTGACCTAAAAGCACGATAGAGTGGACGATACCACAACACATAGGCTCCTGGAACCCCTGCTATGAAGTAGATAATTGCCAGAAACCAAATCTTTGGATCTACAAACAGGAGATGGAGGTAGCATGTCAGGTTAAAAATACACTTATAAAGAAGGCTGACTAAATGAAAAGCCACTGAATACAAACCTCCCTCTTTAATCCACGCAGTGGTTACAGCTATGACATTCCATAGAAGACATGCTACAATTCCTGGTCACCAAAAGCACACACATCGTTAAAACAGTTCAAGACTAACCCCAGAAAGGGGAGAAAAACAACAAACCAAGGCTTATTAAATGAATCCAAATGGGGAAAAACAAAGGGTAAATAAAAGAGAGGTACAGAAGGGGTACTGCAGCTATGGTACGGCGGATAACATGCAAGCTTGTTGCAGTATATACGAAATAATGGAACCGAAAATGAATAAATATTGGTCAAGCCCATATCCAATTCAGAATCAATTAATCTTCACAATGCTAGCAGCTTGAAAAAAAAAAGAAGAAGGAAGACCTGTTCACTTAGAAAAAGTAAAAACTTGTCATCATGCCAAGCAGTCAAAAGGAGAGACGAAACTGTTCACCACCCAAACATATAGACTTGCTTCAATCCTTCATTCTAAAATAAACATTGACTATCTCATCAATTTGATTTCCTTCAAAGAATGTGAATAGTCAGCCACCTTCCTTTTGAATCAAAAGAGAGAACATATGGCCCAGGTCAAAAGGTATTATCTGGTCAGTAAACTTTCCACGTCAATTCTCAATATGTCTATGAAGCGACATTACAAACACAGACAGAGTCAAAGGTGAAATTGTAACCTGAATACAATCTTACATAATTGCAGGACAACCAAGGCAGAATTTCAAGTAGTGATGACTGATAAGCAAATAACAAAGTTCCACATATAAAAAGAAACATTTGACATACCCAAGAAGGTTGTGAATGCAACATACTGCATCTTCTGTAGATGAATTGGTATTTCATTTGCGATATCGTGGTGGATAATAGGAAAAAATGGTGGCCAGTTTTTCTCTTCAAGAACAATACCAGCTGCAAAGCAAAATAAAGAACTTCATCAGTAAGTTGCAGTCACATATAGTTGTATATAATTGAAAATTTGACATCTATTTCATTTGTTATACTTTTTCTCAATACTGGGGACACATTTTGGCCATCAAAAAGAAGTGAAAAGTCGGAATAGCAATAAAGAATGCAGGGAAAGAACAATTTCGGAATGGTATAACCAATAAAAGGGACATAAGAGAAAGGAAGAGTCGAAAGTCCGAATACTGAAAATATTACAGTTCTTCAGAAATTACAGGGCATCACACAATTAACAGAATATAAAGGGGTATAGACGTTTAATACCCATTAAGTCAAAAGGGCTTTACAACAAGTTGGTTATAAAGAAAGTTGTGTTGGTTTATAGGGGATAACGGAATTAGGGGGTCTAGAAGGGGGAGTGTTCATAAAGAATACAATAAGAACAAACAAAGCACCTCGTGCAGCAGCCTCTTCTTTCCGCTTTACATCCTGGAGGCGCATCATCAAGAAAAAAAGTCATGATAATGATGATTCATAAGAAAACTAAAAATTAATAGAGTTGCTCTTTATGTTTAATGTTCTAAAAGATATTAATCACTTATATAGCAAAAAGTAAAACTTTATGAAATCAACTACATTCCTCTGAAAATTTTGTATTATAGTATCTAACAATCGACATAACATTTATTATACATTAATAAATCAATATGACAATGGCTTCCATATCAGTCAGGGCAAGTACAAGAAAATGGAACATGAAGCAGAAATAATTAATGATTGGTCTCATTAATATGATCAATTACTTTGCTCAGGAAATTACATCAGAAGTTCTTAGTAAAAAAAAATTCTCTCTTACAGCTAATAGCTATTAGAGAGCCTAAAGAAATAATAACAACATTTTTCAAGGGGGCATTAGTTATCGTCTACTCTATCCAATTGTTTTTACACCAACAAAATGTTTAAAGTTCTTTCTTGGACACTTTATGGCATCCTTGCTGGTAAAGAATACTTCATGCTCTGCATAGACTTCCTCTCAATTAAATCCAAGTTAAATATTGTAAAAGCTCTGAAAACAGATGACAATCATTAAGCATAATCATGCAGCAGACTTTAATAGCTGAAATAATTTGTCTTGAGTGTTGATAGTTGCATTTAATGCCTTTGAAATGAAGTTTGGAATAATCACAGTGGAGCGCTCATAGCGAGACGATATAATTAATTTATGCTAGAGGTTTTCTGCACTCTACTGTCCTTAGTACAGAAAAGGGTACACTTTCGAAACTTAACTGCTTAATTCAACTTTTTCTTTCTTAGAAATATTATGGTTAAGGAAGAAATAAGAAAAGAATGATTTGATATGCCATTGTTGCACCCAGATTTAACCATTCTAGAAGGCAACAATCAGAAATAGCAATATAAATTGCAGAGTTCGGGTACATAAACCAATTCACAACATATAAATAGAAGGAAAAGTAACGGCAAGTCATGTCAAAAAGAAAAAAATTGAGACATGGTAAACTAGTGTCGCTGTAGTAACCTATCCAAAGCTTAAGAATTTGCATCAATGAACAACCTGTTCTCTTTTTCTCAATTCGGCTTCCTTTGCCTGCAGCTCTCTCTCTTTCTTTTTTAAATCCTACATGAAATTTATTGTCATTAGTAAAGTAGACTTATGCATGACATCAATAACAGATGAAAATATGTGAGTACCGCAGCGCTATCAAGAGGAATATCAACTGAGGCAGTTGGATTGTAGAAATCAGCAGGTTCTGGAGGAAGAGGAGAAAGCCTTGAGTTTGTGGCAGGAGGAACACTCCCAGAATTCTGAAAATTGTTGAAAATATTGCATGTACAAATTCAAAAAAAAGCCAGTTACATACAAAATTTGAAAGAAATCTAATTCCATAAAACTGACAGAACTTATACCATAATATAGCTATATGGAATCAAATGATTCAAAAAAGTTCACAAAAACAAACCAACTGGGGGAAGTATTTTGAAAACAGAGTGGATATATTTCATTCAGATTAATATCTTCTTGCTATGTAGTTCTCAACTATAGGGTCAAGAACTTGTTCTTTTTCAACTAACAATTGCAGTATAACTTTTTTCACCTGGGGGTGGGGGTGGGGGTGGATATTACAAACTCATTAATTGTTTTTTATTCACTCATTTGGGGCAGGAAATTTTCCATCTTTAACTCACCGACGTAAAAAAGGAACCTCCACCAAACCTTGATTGCCCTGTCGCTTTCCCCTTAGCCCCTGCTTCCTGTTTCGGAAAAATCAAATTGTGATTGTACAAACATACAATCGAAAATAGATCTACCAATTCAGGCAGAAATAACAAAAGTACAATAAGATCTTATAAACATGCAAGCAACTTGCTAAAAGCCATAAAGCCCCACCCTAGTATTATCGAGCTACTTTGCTAAACAATGTCATATATCACGTCCAGCTCTACTTTATTCCTCCATCCTCAATAAACATTGTCAAAGAGTTCATACTTAACATGTCATCACCGATAAATGCCAGCTCTGCCATAAACACTAACACCCCATGGAACTACCTCCATTATTTGCCACTACAAGGTGAGGAAAATTTTCATTTTTCCATGCTTGTAACAAGATTATAGATATTTTCATCACATCAGCCAAACACTAGAAAATGAACCATAAATTGATTTAGACATAAACTATTATACCAGAAGAAAATCGGACCCTTAGTTAAAGCACTTTCAAGGCCTCTATATCTTCCACTACACACAAGTACTCAGCTAATATCATAACCTCAGGTTCTACCCACAGCAAACTTATGATGACTCAAAACAAGCATACACATCTCAAATAGAAATCTACCTTCTACAATAAGACAATTAACATATACTTAAGCTACCAATGAAAATAAAAAGGGCTACCAAAATTTGAAACACAGAGAGAAATTACAAACAGCATTTAATAAAATCCATAGGAGAAATTCCCCTCCCCCCAATGCCTAATTAGATCAAGCCACAAAATCAACTAAATTTACAAAACCAAACGCCTGAGAAAACCCACTTGAACCCTCAGTCAACCTATCATAGAAGCAAAACCCAAAACCAGGATACCTCAATTCTTTTATCAACTGTAATAACTTCAATAAACGCTCCAGTTTTGTGCAATTGAAAGGTTAAATTCCACACAACACGCCTATCGAAGCAGACTATAGAGAGAAAGAGATTGAACTTACAGCAAATGGATTAACTTCTTCTTCTTCATCGAAAGGGTTGCGATCGTAACGTCCTGCCATCTTTCTGTGTTTAGGTGCTTTTCAGTTCAACTGAATATCACTTCCCAAGAAAGAATTTTGAGATCTAGTAATACTATTACGATACAATATGCAAAAGAGAGAAAAGGAGATTCAAAAGCTTAGAGGAGAAGAAAATTGACACAGTTTTGGATTCGAGTGCTTGTAGCGGTCAACATGTAATGTGAATTGGAAGAAAAGGGAAAAGTAAAGAAATTGCAGAGAGAACGGACACACACTTGCCCTCTGTCAGCCGAGAGCATGTTTGGCTCAGCTTAAAAGTTTGTTTTAAGATAAATTGGGTTAATAATTAATCATCTATTTGACTATCTTTAAAACAAAATAATTTATTTCTTTAATTTGGCTACGTGTACATTCAGAATTGACATCCCGAATCATAGTCCCCTCACAAGAGGGGGCCGCAATTATTTTATCAATCATGCTACATGAACATCATTATTTACATCATTCATTACCATTTGTCACGTGACAACACATCATTGAACAGTTTGAAAAATAAATAATTTTCCTTCAATCCCTTTTTAACAACACGTCGACTATAAAAAATAATGTATACTTGGAGTGTACATGTAACATTTTTGTTATTTTATTACGCTCCCTCCTGTGAGGGGACTGTTATCCACACCCCCGAATGAACAAATAGTAAAATCCTTATTTTTTACACTTATTTTCAATCACGCAAGCTTTTTCTCACTTTTTAATTACACCTTATCTAAAAAAAATCACATAAAACATCATTTTTATACAATAATAGCCTTCTAAAAATTTATTTCTTACACTCATTTTCAATTACGCAAGCTATTTCTCACTTTTTAACTACACATTTTCCAAAAAATCATTTCAAAACATCATTTTTATACAATAATAGCCATCTAAAATGTCACTTATTTTAGAAATACAAATTTCTCAGCCAAACATGTTACTGCCCATTGTTGAGGGAGAGCATAGGGCGCGGCAAAGGAAAAGACAGTGTAACTTGCATTTGGCTTTGTCGTGAGCCAGCCAGCTGCTCCTCGTAGTCATCATATGTGTATTTCGTATTGGTGTTATTGGTTGTTACGGCGTCATCAATGAATAACTTGAGTGGAAATATTTGATTACTGTAATAAATAATGAGTCTAATTGATGTTAAGTACCCGTCCATAAGTATTCGACTGGACATTTAAAAAAAAAGTAATGCCATTTACAGTAGTCGTTCACTAAGATAGTCGTCATACATAATCTACATACATGTGACGGTTAGTGATTTGATGCATTAATATAATAATTTTTTATTGTCTCATGCATCAAATCATTAGCCATCACACGTGTGTCACGAAGGGCGACTATAGTAATGAGCGACTGCAAATAGTATTATTCTTTAAAAAAAAAGTACGAGTCATTTTTAATCAATTAATTAACAGCTAGACGATCGCAAAATTTAATCAAATTTGATCGAGTAACAGTACTAAGGGCACATTTGGTAGAACATTTGCTTTTGATTCTTGTAAAAAGCTTTTTAAGGGAGCTAAGTTGGTCCAACTTCTTTTTTTAAAAATTATAGCAAAGCCAAATTAGAAAAAATACATTTCATGGACTCGACCTTCCTATCAAATAAGTTTGTTTTGCTAAAGTACTATTGTTTTTATAGTAAAAGAAAAAGGGGTGTGTAAAGTAATAAATTTGTAGTTGGTGGGTAGTTGAAACGGAATTGTTGCGAAATTGAAAAGGAGTAATGGAACAACCTCCGAAGTTGTTACTCAAGTATACATTTTTTTTATTCCCACCCCAAATTTTGTAACTTTAAATTGGATGTCAAACATTATCGCGTTGAATATTCACATGTTTAAGATTAATTTTGCCGACAATCACATATCCTTAAAACACTTTTATTCTCCCTCTAGAAGGAATCAGACACTACATTAAAATAAAAGTCTCTCCCGTTCTACATTTGAAGTTCTCCGTTGAAATTGTTAAGAGAGACAATGTTCAATTTTCTAGATAAATAAATATATTCCGCATCTGATAGATTCATTAAAAACTTTTAGAACAGGTTGTTTAACAAAATATTATCGAGCAATGATTTGCTTGCGGACAGCTCAAAGATTATGTTTACCTAATTTTACACTGAAACGGACTATTTTTTGTCTGCAAAACCATACACAATTACAAGTAATCGTCTCATCGTGGACTGCATAAAGGCCATTACAACCTATGCCTAGGGAAGTTTAATACAAGACAACATCGTATCAACAAAGAAATATATAAAATGGTAAAATTTTCCAAATATTTCTACCCAACATAAGTACACAGGGTTCCTTATATGCAAGTAATCTGCCTTCGTTTAACCATGCTCTCCAAGTTCTGTGAAACCAATGCAGTTAAATTTGGATCCTCAAAACCGAGTTCTGGACCAAGTCTGCAGCCAGAAACACAAAGCGTTAATCCAACATATTGAATATCTGGATATGATGGTTTCATTCAAGAGATTTGTCCCCAGGAGAAGAGGCAGTAGGAATTGTAATCAGTAAAGAAATGATAAAACTTCAATACAGGATCAGCACAAACGAAATATAATCAAATGGTAATGAAATGAAAGGTAATTACGCCTTGCAACTACGTAAAAAACTTGAAACATTTATGGTAGCATAGCAAATGAACAACATTTCTAATAGAAAAACCAAAATTATCTTGCAAATGGCTCCCACAGTAAAACTTTCCTCCTGTCCCCAATACCAGCTGGAGACGATAGCTAACTAGCAGGTCATAGTCCATTAGTAGTTTGGTGAAATTTCTCAGCAAGTCATTTGGGCTTTATTTGGAGAGAGTTTCTAAAAATCATTTTTCCTCAAAAACATTTTCAACTATACATTCCATGGAACCCATAATTTTTCCCTACTTTTTAACCCCGCATTCTCCAAATTAAGAAAAAAAAAATCATTTTTCACTTTGGAAAAGTCTCCTAAACAAAAGCTTGGTAAGTGAGAATACCGATTCAGATTCCTTCTCTACATATTGGATAACAAGAATCAAAAACTAAGATCATAACAAATTGCTTACTTGGGATCTAGAACCAACTTCTGAACTTCTTTAATGGCTGAACTTGCTGCATACAATGATATTTTACCTACCTGCACCAGCAAATAGACAATTAAGAACTCCATCAAAATAGAATGACGTCAGCAAAGCTAACCTGGGGATACAAGGGGAAGGATAAAGTAAAATTTTGTTTCTCAGACCTCCAATATTTGAAGCTTTGCCTCATGGTCATTTGGAAGACCACGGATTTCTTCAGCCAATCTTACAGCCTCGCCCAAACTTTCAGGAGAAAGAAAATCAAGACCCAACTGAACAGTTGACTGAGTATTCAAAATGAAGACAAATTAGACTCAGTACTGACCAATTCAGCATCTGTACATAATTGGAACAAGTTTTTTTCATAAATGGAAAAACAATGGAACAAGGTTTCTGAAAATAATTTACTGCAGTGGATTCACACACAAAAAAAATTTATGAAGGACACTTTGGAAAAGGCCATGGTTAATGCAATGCAAAGAAAATGGTAATTGATATCTATAGAAGCACCCAAAAGGAAAATGATTTTCCCATAAGTAAAATAAAAACAACAATCTTTTCAAGAGAAACCAACAAAAATTATTTAGGCAGAAACAAGAAAGAAGGGTTCATTAACATGTGAAAACCACCATAAAAACGTAATGAACATCTTAGCGGCTGCAGCCACGACATATAATAACCCTCTTTAAAGAAATAGGTTAGTTTATCAAACGGAGTTGTATATCCCCAACCCACCTGAAGATGTCTAACTTGGACAGGACATCCAGCGGGGATGAAGATAGCTTCACCTAGCTGCTGTTCAAACGTCCACGGTTCTACTCCTGAAAAAAATGTCCAAATATTAATTTAAACTACTTTTCATTCCTTTAATTAAGAATGCAGGGTTGCAAACATATTAAAGAGTCCAATGCATAAATCAAATTCAGTGACCAACTGCACAGACTGAGACAAACAGACAATTTTTAGTAAGGTATTTGTTCACATTATTTTTGTTAATGAGGACGTAGTGGAGTCTTGGCAATCCTCATAGGTAGGACTAGCACTATGCTTAAATCCCAAGAAGACATCCCTACCCTCAGTTTATATGTGATACCCATTTAGCTACACGTGTTCAGGCCTAAAGAAAAGTGGGTGGTTTTATCTCTTTAGCACACATAAACCCTAGCTTCCAGTATGCCATTGATGCCTTAAGAACCCAAGGTACATTTCATCTCGGGTATTCACATATACTTGTGATTTTGAGATTACATAGAATATCAGAGATTAATTTTCTTTCAATTGGTATGACATCCACCAATGCCACAGCATGCAAATGTGTAAGTGATAACATCAAACAATGAAAATAGAATGGTCAAATTAAACTCTGATCACTCTACTTGGATGTTAGTGTCACAAAAGTCAACTCAATACGCAGTCAGGCAAAAAGGGTATTGCATTATTGGACATCAGAAAACTCAACCAAGCCATCATAACAATAATTAACCATTGCACTTACCAAATTCATTTTTCAAGTTTTTGTTAAAATGCCTACTATTGCACTTACCAAATTCTTCTTTCAACTTTATCTTATGATGTCTGTCCAAATATATAGCATCCGTATAAAGGGGCCAGAGCACCTGATCATAAAAACGAGTAGATTTTAGCTATGTGAATACATAAAGCCGGAGAAATCTTCATTTAGCTATCAACTAAAATGATAAAACAATAAAACTTACAGAATCATTTATGGAGTCGTCAGTATTCCCAAATTCCTTCCAATGACTACTTATATACTCAATCAGCTTCGGTACATCTTGTCTGCGGAAGACGTCCCAAAGAGCTCCTGCTTCAAGGTTCTCAGGAGTATTTCCACCAACTATGTTCAAGTCTTCATGATTAACAGCTTCCTCTTCAACAGTGAAGTTTGTTTCAATTCCTTGGTCAACCATCTTCTCGTGATTATCTGAATCTACTTTAACCTCAGAACCATCGTTTCCACTAGATGATAACTTTGGTGACCCACCTCTATCCAAGTGAACTTCAGGACTGCCACACAATTCTTTTGAGTCAGATTCTACCACAGCCATTTGCATCTTCTCAATCTCTGTTGTCCGCCCGTCTTTTAATTTGACGTCATGTATATGCACCAATAGGAACACCTGATTACAATGGAAAAAATGGCTATTCAAATTATCCATCTACAAAGAAGTCGGAGATACACAATGTAGAGTAAAAGACAAGAAACAATTTTAGTCCGTTGGCATAAAGAAAAAGCCAAGCAAGTAGGTATTCCATCTTGAGCATTGTGAATAGAATTCCTATATTATCAGAAGCCAATTGACCATAATTGCAAATCATTAAGAGGTCATTTACATATAGTAACTAGCAAAATACATGTGAACATCAGTGATTATTATGGGCAAATGATCAAAATTATCACTCATAAGTAACTCTGAAAAAATGGAGTATAAAACTTTTTTGTGAGTTGCTTACCATGTCACGCATATTGAGATGAAGATTATTTGTTGAATCGCCTTGACCAAGTTCTTCTACAGTGCCATAAGAAATAAATATCTTCAGACCCACATCATTCTGCAAGGAATAATGAGGCAGTTTTGCAGCAACATTCAGAAGACCCCATTTGGAATGGATAAATTCAAGCAAAGGAAGTTTACTGATAAAGTCAGGTCTCTGGTACAACAGAAACTCTTCTGAAGCACTGGGAGAAGGCCAGTCCTTCAACTTTAACAATTGTGGCCAACCATTCTCATGTATTCTACCGTCAAAGTATCCTTTGATGAACTCTCTGGGTTCAATATCAATCTGCAATTATGTTAAGCCAGAAAGAATTGGCATAAACACATCTCAGACATCGAAAGTTTGGTATCCGCATCTATGAACATTATTGTCTGCTATATAAATGAAAAATATAAAAATCATGTTGCTATCTAAAATGATAAGGGGTCAACTTTGCTGTAACATACCTCAGTCCAATCAGAACAGTCAATAGCCTTCACGGTTCTGTTATCATCTTTCATTTTCTCTTCAGCCGTCTCTTTAATCCCTCTCCATACAACCATGGGATCCCAGATCGACATTGCTGAAATATCACAAACCTCCTTAATAATAATAGGTTCCCCCCTGCTCCAGTGCATTCTGAAGTCTCCAATCCCTTTATTTTTAATGTCTTCTGAAGATGGATTATACAATAAATTATCACTATCATTCGTTCTCTGCGCAGCCTGGCAGAGCCTGAGATCAAATCCATTTTTCTCTGTACTATCAGAATTACATGTTTTGCAGCCACCGACCATTTCTTCGACATTTTTTACTAGTTTTGCAACCCAATTCATCTTGAAGATGCGCTTTAGAACTAAAAAGGAGGAACCACAGCCCCAATATTTCTTTGGGGCACATGGAAGGCTACCATCACTATTCGCTTTCCAACCAGAAAACTTCTCGAATGATTTTAGCTGAACATTAGACAATTTCTCTTGCACAGACACCATCTCGTTGTCACTACTTCCACCTGCGATTTGATTCATCTCTCCATTGAAAGAAAACTTGGACGCTTCTCTAATATCTTTGCAGCAGTTAAGGCACAGATCATAAGAGCAATTCGTGCAATGGCGATGATAATCAATAATCGGTGTCCTGCAGAAATTACTGAAAGCAAAAAATGCACAGAAAATGAAAGCTCATTGCACTATATTAGTTGTATCAAAAGAAACTAACCCAACAAATGATATATGGATTAGAAATAAACACAATCAGAAAAAGAATATATGCCATTTGCATTTCCCCTTTTTTGGGGTGATGAAAGAAATGAACAATGAAGTAATTTAAATTTTTGATATGTTTAAAATAGGGAAACGTATGTAAATGGACCGTGCATCTTGTCACCTTACCAGCACATTTGCTCATCAGCATTCAATTTTGTCCTGGCGAGATCTATTTCATTTCCTGTTGCACATAAATATGATATCCCCGGTGGTCATGGAAGATGTCATTCATGGCAATTTCAACTCCAGCGTGCTATTAAAACATAAAACATCTTACCTCGGAGCTTTTTTTCCAGTTCTACCTCAGAGCACTGTTCACGATGGATCTGTTTTACAACAGGAAGCACTGAAGATAAAATGCAGTAGAGATATTGCAATTTGTCTTGTGCTGGTATCTCTCGTATCCTTGCCTGTCTCATAACAAATACGGAGCTTTACATTCAGAAATAGCACAATATCTTCTCTAACAAACATATATACATCTTACTAATGTCTAATGAAATCAAACAACCCATCAACTGTAAGAACCTTCAGGGAAAAGATATATACCTTAATTAGATTATCTCCCCGCAAGCACACCCTGCAACTACAACTGCCACGACATGCAGGACAAACCCTCTCAATCTCTTCCACTGGGATGTCAGAATACCTTAGAAATGAAGTATCTCCTCATCAGTTTGGCACGAGAAACAAAAAAATAAAACCAAATTCTTTTAATACAAGATTCTATCTCACCAAGTTGCGATGCAGCTATCACAGTATCCTCTTCTTCTACATTTAAGGCACCAAATCACTGTGTCTCTATCATCACGGCGACATTGATGGCAAGGCTGCTCACCATTATCATCAGAAGACTCCTAAAGAAGGCAGAGAAGAACAGCTCTTTTGTTTCAAAAAATAAAAAAGAAAACAATAGCAGCTCGCAGACAACTGACATAACCACAATTAGTTGGGTCCAACAAATAAGTGTTCTAGTCATCTGTTTGTAGCTTCGAGTTCTGTTACACACTAAACCGTCAATTTGGGATCCATTCAATATTTTCCTTGGGAGGTATCGTGAAGGAATTGGAATGGAATAAGATCGACTCATCCAAAAGAAAAGGTGATGGACCTAGAAGAGGGGGTACAAGTCAAGTATCNAGTATCGCCTGGGGATCATGTCTTCTTAGTACTATTCTTGATGTACAAATCCATTTCGGTAGTAATATTCCATTTCAATTGGAAAATTCAGTCAGATGTTTGGTGATTCTGTCGAAGTGATATTTTTTTACTAAAGCAGCATGAGGCTTCAACTGGCAGCATGGGCTTAATTAATTGTCTCCCCACTGCCAGTTTATCCCTCCTAGCCAATGGTTCCCAAAATCTAAAATCAGCTAAGCGCGCATTAACGAACAGGTTTCCAAAAGAATGGAAAAAGTCTATTAGAGAAAACAAGTCTGATTTTGTCTTGTCATAATATATTAATGCTTTGGCATCACGGATGTATTATAAAAAATGGGTGCACTCTATTCTACACAGATGCAGCAAACTAACAACAATATGTAGATAACAAGCGCCCACTCTCAGGATAACAAGCCAACCAAAAATCATGTGTGTAATAATTGAAAGATAACTTGTAACAACTAGAAGTTCAGGAATAGAGAAACATTGCAGAAACTTGTCAGTAGGAGGACAGGTTAAGGACACTTCCATCATCGACATGCATCGTGATGAGACAATTCTTGAAGGCAATTATCAGTAAACAAATAAGAGCATGTTTGGGAATGCTTTTTCAAGATTATAAGCTGGTCAAACATCTTTTTATCCACGCATTCCATAGGCCCACAATTTTTTCCACACGTTACTTAGGACCCACAGCTTTACTGAACATGCACTAAATTTGACTCAGGTTATAAAATATGCCTCTATCCACTTGTTTATAAACTTGAAAGAAAGTTATAAGTGTAACAAGTAGATTAATTAAGTTCCTGGTGGACAAAAGGCAATTCCACTCACCGTCATAGGACTAGAATCAAACACCTTTCTTGATCTGCCTCTAGATGATTCCATAGCAAAAGGAGGTGGTGACCGCTGACTCTCTTCATACTCTGAGCCATCTCTGTCTATGTCATCAGTTGACCTCACAGAATTGTGGGTCGAGAAGCTCCTCATCGATGTCATTTCAGGTGAATGATTAACCCGGTTTTTTGATGGTTTTTCCTTGTACTTCTTCCCAGGGACAGAGCCAGAATAGTCCCCAAATTGTGAACTGAGTGGTAGGTCCATATCATCACTCTTGCTCTCCAAGTAGATGTCACTTTCACCTAAAGATTTCCTCCTGGCTTTTTTCATGCTTGCTCGCATTGCAGAATTTGCTGCCCTCTTTTTTGCCTGGATGTAATGTTTTTCACATACTGTTTTATCAGGCATGGACATGGCAGTACATCTCCATTGTTTCCCATCTGACCTTTTACATCGCAAGTCATCAGGAATACCGACATTATCATCACCACCCATTGATCGCGGATGGTCCATATAAATTTTGAAATAAAAGTCAATAGCAGTAGAACATGCAAATCATCTTACTATTCGCCTGCAAACATCAAACAAATTACACAGATGTATTTTAAGCCCAAAAACGTGTGTTGACAAGATTGCATTATCCAAAAAGTTGAATTTCCAGAAACATGCAAACACTCGCCCATGTAGGATAGAATAATTGTGCAAAAAAAATATTAGTAATATTGCAATCACAATTGTATATACAATTTAGCTACAAGAAAAGTTTTTTGACTTTAAGCAGTAACTTGTACGAGATTAAAATGGTAGAAAGTAGAAAATTAATTCTTGAGCTAACAGAATCAAAAATCGATGAAAACAAGGGTTTTCTTTCTTTCTCTTTTTTTTTTTTTTTTTTCTTTTTATTCCTCGAGAAATCAACATAATTAACTCGTAGGTGAATAACACCCAACGAACAAAATTGAGAAAATCATAGCATAACTTTAAGGATGCTCTATTTCCATTATAAATTAGAAAAGTCGAGCCCAAATTCATATAAAACCTGAATACAACAATTAGTTTAAGTCCACCGACCCACGAAATCTCAGTATACAAATACATGTATAAGTACGTATGTGTGTAATGCGAGTATTTATATATTGATGTATGCATACAATCATAGAGATATATGACTGTGCGTGTGGCCGCACGTACTTCTCAGTGTGTGAGAGCGAGAGAGGAAGAGAGCATACCTTTATATATGAAGAACAGAATTTGCGATGTTATGTTGAAAAATTCAAAGTTTCCCTTTCATGAATTCTATAAACAACTAAAGAGGAGTTATATAATTCAATTGGGGAAACAGAGGCTTTGCAGTCTGCTGCAGAAGAACGAGGGTCGAAGGGAGGGAGGAGAAGGAACGACGTCGCAAGCCCTAACGTTGTCGACGACGTCGTTTCGGTTTCAAGAATTTCATCTAAACTGCTCTATTTCAGCAGTCAAATGAATCGTGGTACATGTAATAATTGGTTGACAACATTCTATTTGACATCATCATATCAATTTATTATAAAAAAGTGTTTTTTATATCACATGATAGGATTTTGACAATACATAGTTGTCAACCGTTCTTGTCAACCAATGTTGTACACTTAAATTTATTCGTAGTGAAATACATCCGAACCACTGTTGCATCAAACCACGAAAAAAAATTCCAGCCCCTAATTGGTATAAATTGAAATTTTAATTTTAGTCAAAGTTAATAATTAATTTTAATCATATAATTTATGGATTTCACAATTTTTCAGTCACACATTTCATCAATTTTTATCAAAATTTGTTAAAAATATAATTTTAATCATTACCAAACATGGACATGGTAATACGGAGTAGCATGTCCCTATTTAGTTGATAAGTAAATAGTTGGAAATTACAAAATAATAAATATATCGATTAATAATGACGAAGAAAAATTATTTTACTTGTACAAATAAGTCGACAGATTTATGCCACACGTGTTTATGTCAGTCTATCTGTACAAAAAATCTGTCCATGTAGCAGAATTTCAAAGAATATTCAACTTTTGTATGCTGGGTTTGCTATAATTTTCTTTGAAGATGTCTCGAGGTATTGTGCTCAAAATGCACTATCAGTATTTTGGTACATGTATTATTTACACATATTTGCATTTTGTTTGAGCCACTTTTTTAAAAAATTTATTTCAATCACACATTCTCTAGTAAAATAATATTACACGTCAATCGAAATTTTTTCACAATTTTTAACCACACATCCTCCAAAAATTACTATTCAAAAATAGGTCTTGGCATGGTTCGGATCGATTTGGTTTTGAGTTCAACCCATAATCGAAACCGACTTGGATAAATTCCAACTCAAATCGACTCAATCCAATCATTGAAATCGAACCAAACCAAAACAAATCGGATTGGTTGGCTAATCGGTTTGGACATTAATGCGAGTTAAAAAGGATTATATATCTATTTTGTAGTTAAAAATTTGTCTTTCTATACATACATACATACGTGTGTGTGTGTGTGTACCAACAAACAATTATACCAAAAATAAAAAGCAATGATACAATCTAAAAATTTGAAATTTATAATAAACACTTATTTTTGCTTTATTTTCTTTCGAAATTTGGAAATTTGGTGGAAAAACGTAGACGGTAAATAAACTATTTAAGAAAGAATTATATTTCTGTTTTTATTTTTATTTTTTAAGTTTAAGAATATGAATTTTAAAATTAAAAAAAAAATGTGTTTGCGGATTGGATCGGTTAATTGACGGGTTGGTTGCTTAAACCGCAACCAACCAAACCCGAGTTTATAATGGTTAAAATTAACCGAACTAAATCGATTTTTTGTTTCAAACCAACCCAAACCGACCCGACTCAGTTTGGTTCGGTCGGTTTAATCGATTTCTTGATTTTTTTTGCCCACCCCTATTCAAAAATTGGTGTTTTCTCTCAAAATGGGGCTTAAACAAGGGCTTGACTTCCAATAAATAATGAGCCTCAATTATTTAATATGCATGTCAATTAGTGGTAGCGGATATAAGATATTTCACACACTACAAATATTTAAAAAATTCCATCTAATGACGTCAATTTTTTGACAAATATTTTTAGGATTGTATTACAAGTTTTCTTATTCAATTTGTTTGAACCCAATTTCTTTCCCAAAAAAAATACATTTTGCAATAGTGTTATGGTGGAAAATGTATGGCTAAAAAATAAGAAAAAAATTGGATTTACATGTAATATTATTTTATTGAAAATGTGATTGAAATATAGTCAAATTAATGTTCAATAATGCTTTTTGATGAAAAATGAAATTCAAAAAAGGGCTTAAATAAATCGACACTATTTATAGAATAAACATATTATAGCCCGTAAAAATATGTATAGACCCGGAACCGTCCCATGCCTAGTTCATTGGCATTCTTTAAAGTTTAAAGAAGTATAGTGAAGGCAGCCCTTTAAAAATTATATTTAGACCCTATTTGATGGTTGTTATTTGACCAAAATAATATTTTAAATAATTATTATTAGGAGAATATGTGATTAAGAAGTAGGAAAAAATTTTGAGTTTGCATATAAAATATTTTATTATGTGAATCTGTAGTTAAAAATGAGTGCTTAAAAAAGAACTTTCAAATTATGGGTTATCAAACAGAGGCTTAAACTTATATTAAACTTTTATAAGGGAAAAACCATAAGTCAAATATTAAGTATGAATCAAATCAATTTTTAGACATTAAGTTTGAAAATGCAAAAATCAGGTTTCTGTTTTAATATTAAATAATAATATTATCAAATTAAATTAATCTACTAACACCCACCAAACAACCTCCTCCACCCTTGTTGCTACATCCACTTGCTACAGGTATCCACCTCGTCGGCGGCGAACTAGTCCTCAATTAGTGGATAAACATCGTCAGCGACTAATCATCTTCTTTATTCGCAACTCAGCATTGCTGATATAATTTAAAATTGAAAAACATCTCCTTTGTAATTTATAGAGTACTTACCGAAGCAAGTCACTTGAATTTTCATCGTCGAAATCTAGTTAATTGAATTTGTGACCAGTTCGAATAATCAAGGTTGAAGAAATCAATGGCATGTGACCTGATATCTTGAATTTGTGACATGCACTTTAACACATGACCTGTGATTTATGCACTTTGACTTGTGCCCATGTTACACGTGACTGTGACTTGATCCAATGGCCTGTGACCAAATATCTTGAATTCGTTACCCGTGACTTATGCACTTTAACATGAGCCCCGTGCATTTGACATGTTACATATTCAAGAGATTTGGTCAAAGAAACTCAATCGACTGTGACTTACACATCACCACCACCAACAATCATAACATCCATCTCCACACAACCACACAGCAATCACCACCTCCAACAAAAAAACTCTAAACTCGTCGTCCCCTCAAAGAAAGATGAAAATACTCTCTGAAACTCACGAAAATCGACCGACGACAATTCATCAAAAGCTAAATAAAAAGAAAAGAAAGATGGAATTGAAGAGCGTTGGGAGTCTAGCGATGCGTATAATACTCTCAAAATTGGGTCCATTAGATGCTACGTTGGAAAGAGATTTCATGTTTGGGCCTCCAACAACTCCCTTTAGGCTAAATTCTATTCCTTTGATCTTGTGAAATTCCTATGTGAAAAAGTTGCGAAATCGTCGCATATGTGAAAATCCGAAGAGAGATAGTCGCTTTGGTGTCTCTAATGCCATCCATGTCTCTAGTGCTGTCCATGTGCACGGCGGGTGAAGACAAGGAGAGTAAGATTAGAGATGGAGAGAGGGAAATGATTTTTTGTGTTTGTAATTAATATCTGATTTATGCTTATTTAAACTTAATACCCGATTTTAGAATTGTCATTTTTAAATACATGTGGTGTAATTTAAGCCTTTTATAATTATAAGAAAATATGTCGGACCTGATCATTTAAATCGGTTGGACACATATTTGTAAGGGAATATTTCATAATTAAGAGGTTAAGTTTCACCAATTTCAAATTTAAGAAACTAAGGGTCCGTTTGATTGCAAGGGTGGAAAGATAATGTTTTACAGGGAATTGATTTTCTTAGAAAATGTTTTACTGGGAATTGTAAATAATTGTGTTTGATTTGTATAATTTTTCATGAAAAATGTTGAAAATTTGGTGTCCATTTGACTTCGTTTTTTATGAAATTTGTCCATTAAAATGATAATTTTTCTACTATTGAGTCTAAAATTGTTCACATTGTCAAAAAAAATGTTTGAAAAAAAAATTTTACCATACCGATTATCATTCGTTTGACTTTATTTTACATGAAAGTTGTCTATAAAAGTAAATTTTTTTTTTTACCATTGTATCTTGAGTTTATTCTCATTGTAAAAAAAAAAAAAAAAACAAACAAATAAAAAAAATAATTTGTGCATCAAAGGGTTGTNTTTAAGAAATTATATTTAAAATTTAAAATTTCAGAGTTTT